TAGACCAAAACATCAAATGCAGGATGGTATCCAAGAACACGTAAATATAACAGAAGCTACGGAAGCAGACAGACGTCCCTATTGGGGACACTTGCATTTCCATTTCTTTGCTACACGAGCGGGTTTCAATTCCCCAGTCTCCTGTGCAAGGGCAAGAAACGATACTGCACATAATATATATCCAAATATTTATATCAGTTGTGTAACAAAAGAAATTCTAGAAATTGAACCTGTCTTCTGAAGTGACGTCATATGTGTCATCAAGGAGGTGTATGATAAATTAGCATATAAACATGTTCATAACTGCGCCATTGCGGTTCTCAAGCCCGGATGAGAAAAGACGAGGGTTTGAGACTTTGGCGAAGTTTTGGTAAAATTTAGCCAGCTGCCTTTCATGATATTGACGTCATCGAACCATATACGGGCTCGATTGTAGCCCGGATTACCAAGGGTTGCGCAGGCTATCGGAGAACTGAGACAGGCTGCGAAAAGTTGGCGATCAAAACCTGCTCATCGGCAGCTGAAGGGTTAGCAACAGGACGACAGTTATTAAAGATCGACGAAATGAAGAGGAAAATAACAATCAGCAACGGAGCCGCAACCCGTTCTGAACACACGAAACAGAGGGCGCAATGCCATTTTCGCACGTCCGAAAAGACTCCACGTTAACGACACTGCCAACGTGAGATTACAGTCAGAAATTGCTATATATTTTCACTCAGAGGGAAATAACAAGGGTTAGTTGATTAGCTGAAACTTCTGGAACAGCCAATAGGGCAAGAAGCGCTAAACTCAATTCTCAAGGAGATGGAGGGCAAAAATCTGAAAATGGCATATGATTGATACATTCATCCTTTCTTAAAATTCTTTATCGCTCTAACATGGCGACAGCCAACTGAGGCTCCAAGCGACCCCAATTTCACTTAGCAAAATCTCTCCCTAGAACGGCAATCTGGAAGGCAATTTAAATATCAATAAAAAGTCCGTTCTATAAAGAAAATTGGAAAAGTGCAAGGAATATCATTTATATAGAAGTAGGTTCGAGTATATCAGTATCCTGATAAACAACGCCCATTCCGGCAGGCTAAGTGGCAAGCAGCGACTACTTCAGACGGAGTTTCTAATAGCTGTTTCATAGCAGCACAGTTGTGAGTTCTTCTGTCGTATCGCTGGAGCAAATGACTAGCAACTCATTGCTAGACGAGCCGAGAGATTGCTTTCGCAACGTTCGGCTGCCAGGTGACGACATTCGTTGTATTGTCAAGCTTTGGCGTACTTCCGCAATACATAACCGGAACACCACGTGAAGGTTGTCGCCTTCTCCCGGGTATGACCAATGAAAAACTTCCAATTCAAAGCTAAACATTACCTTCTTTCATTTACTACTGCATATGGCAACAATATATAAAGAAGGTATTTATTTGATCAGCCGTATTGACACAGAATCAGTCTATCAAATATACTAGATTAACAAGTAGTTTGAAACAGAGACAGACTGCACAGAACCGGTGGTTTGAAAGAGCGACTTTTCATTGAAACGATTTGCCGGGAGACTGATAGTGCGAAGGACGTGAAAACAAAAACGAATGTGGCTTAAGAAATGATAGGAACGATATTGTAGGGTGATGAATACGCAACAGGCGAGAACAAGAAATACTTCGACACTGGGAATTCCTAGGCCGTCTCCGATCCAAGTACTACCCCAGCCCAACAATGCTTGACTTGGCATATCGGACGGGATGCCGTACATTCACCGTGGTATAGTCGTAGGTGATTGCTTTCTCGAAATGGAACATTTTAGAGTCGCATTAATCTAATGATTGATTTACTACAAACCAACAGGTTAAAAATTCGAAACTAAAGGTACGATCACATGATGACAGATGCGAGGAATCAGAATAAGGGATTCAAGTGAGAGCCCCAACTCGCTTTGCTAAATTAAATTCGTTTATATTCCTGTCAATCTATTTTGCCAGGTAAGTTTAGTCTCCTACCCGATGACTCCTCCTTGTTTCCAGTTGATGACTGAACAGAAAAGAATTCTGAATACTTCAAAATTGTCAGAGTCAAAGAAACAGATGCAAACTGGACAGGATGAACGAAATCTGATGCTTTCTCAACGCTCTGGCGTAACGCAAGTACAGTCTGATATACATTAGCTTTACCTGAACAACACTGTTCTTCTTGGATCTGAGAGTGTACTAATCTCTGTCATCTGTCTTAGAAAAAGTATACGTAGGCTTTTCCCGGGATGCTCAACAGTACTGCCCGAATGGTTTGTGCAGTCCTTATTGTCTCCACTTTTGAACAGAGACCCTCTCACCAAAATCCATGCTGGTGCATTCTGCATAGTCACGGGTTTCACAAAGGTGCATTAGCTGCAACATGACTCAAAAACATGGCTTGTTCGCCTTAAGCTTGATGCATCTTACGCCGGCGGATTTGTTCGATTCTGTCAGTCGTTTTTCTTTCTAAGCGTTTTGATGTTGCTGGGACGAAAGGCTCATATTCGCTGCCCGTTGCTCCTGAAACGAGTCTGCTTGATGGGGGTTAAGAAGTTCCTCCAAATACTCTCGTCCGCCGCTTAATTAATATATTTTCTTTGAAAGAAAGCATCATTACTTCTCTTCCCGGTGTCTAATGCTTCAGACTTTTCCATCTCGCCAGCGGCAGATGGTCTGCCATAATACGTCATCTATGGTCGGGAAATTTGACTCCAACACCTCATGGAATTGGTTAGTATTTTCAATAATTACCTTTCGGTTTGGTCACTGCTTTCATTCCAGCCATAAGCGTTTCATCGTGCTGTCTTTGAGTTGAAGACTCTATTCGTCGAAGCAATCTCTTACACGAGTCTGATTCGTGCTGGGAGCCCATTGAACTTTGTCTTTGACCTTCACGCGGCAGTCCAAGTAATACTGAACCAAAGCATTTGGCAGCAGCCTGGAGAACGCCGCTTTTGAAGTGATTCCACTGGGTTTCCATATCAGCTGCCATCAGTGAAATCTTATTTTTAACGGTCTTGCGATGTCATTTGTAAATTTTTTATCGATTCTAAAGAAAGTAGTTTGTGATTTAATTCTTTGGTTAGTTCTGCTACCAGGTTTTCGTATGTCAGTCCGTCATTTGCGGCGGAGGGTGCAAACAGCAAGGTAATGAGGGTTGACAATATGTACCTCATTCTAATACGAATATCCTCGTCAGAGTACCGTCGGTCAAACGATATGATTATCATCAGTTGATCATTCACTAATGTTCAAAACCCTGTCTATACCAGGTACAATGATGCACGTTTCGATCCTCGGAAAAGGTGCTCATGAGAGGCATTGAGGATTGCTATTATTCGGATGAGAGGGTTTCGTTAAGCGATTCTGTCAGCCACGTTTATTTCTGGACATCCAACATGGCAGAGCACGGATCGTGGTGTCGACAAATGAGTACAATATCTTTCATCAGCAGGCGTTTAAAACTCCACTGGCTTGACGAAAGATTTTCTAGATCTATTCGTCACGTTGTGACGTTATCAATCATTAATTTCTGCACTTACCCTGTTAGTTAGAAGTATGCCCTCAACGAATCTGAAGTACTATAGTTTTCTCAGGTAATCTACACATCAGTTCAAAACGGGAAGCGGCTCCTTTCTTGACTAGTCCTTTTATCGTCTTACTGTCGACCTACGGAAACGATTCTTGTTCTTTTATGCCCTCTGTTGCCAGAAAGTCTGAAGCTTTGTGTCTTCGTCGACTTTTGGAATTGTGAATGAGTTCCATGAGTGCCTGCTAGGCCCTGGGTAGAGTAGGTTCCAGCATGAAATATTCAGAATTCCAGAGCTCTGACGCTTCATTGGTGATAATCCACGTATGTTGAATTGGTTCCTTGCGGCCTCATTAAACCAGCTGCTGCCGTTTCCTTCCGAGTGATGATGGTTCAGTTTCTGACTGGCAGCTGGCACTGGTGGTGTCGTTCTCGCGAAGGCTTTTCTTATGAGCTATAATGGCATCGCTCTGTGTGCATCCGCCGTTGAAAACGGGTAGCGACCCCGCTGGTGATTGGTATCTTCGTTGTTGTTCTATCGATCTTCGCGAACTGTTCTCCTGCTGCTGCAACACCAACTGCCACAAGCCGTTGAACAGGTTCTGGTCGTCGTCGTTTTGCAGCCTGCCTCAGTCCTTCAGCAACCAGCGTGGCCCCGTCGTAACATGGGCTATGACCGAGCGGATATTATGTTCGATTAGGGCAATGCTATGATGGGCAGGTGGCTAAGTCTTACAGAGACTTCGCTACGGTTCTGAACCATCCTCGTTTCTCATCCGGGCTAAAGGACGGCAGCGATTAAGTTTTTTCAAACAGTTCTGTTATTAAATGCATATTATGACTGAAGCAAGGACGATGATGGCCAACTGATCGCGCAAATTCAGAATGATTTTGCGACATGAACTTCCTAGAGCTGAGATATTCCGCAAAATGTCGCGAGAGGGTCTCCATCAATCAACTCAATGTTATCCAGCAAACTTCGCTGATGCAACTTGTAAACTGCTGGGTTATCATGTTGTTGGAAAGACGACATACACATCACACCACGTAATGTTGCACAGCCGCATAATGACGATGACTGAATCGAGCGACATAAACTTCATCTATTCATTCCATCTAGCAAATACATTATACACTACCGAGCGACATTCGCCATTACAGCACTACCGGTTGACGATAACAGGCGAGTAGCACTGCGTGTGTGCAGCAGTGACCTTGTTGGACAGTGGACATGTCATGAATGTGGATCACTCAAAAATGTGATTGGCTGAAATTTTAATAGAGTCTCTAGCAAAATATATGATTCTCTGAAAGGATTGGTTGACAATCAACTGTGGATAGGAATACTGTTGGTAGATCATCAGGTATTACATCGGTGAAACAGTCCCGCGTATTTTATTTTGTATGGTAGATCTACGTTTGTGAGGTGTCGGAATTGTGACAGATAACAATTGGTAGATGAAAGGTTCAATCTGATGACAATGCCGTCGGTACAAGACTTTCCACCGTTAACTCCGAATGCCGTAGAGGTTAAATTTTAATTTTTTCCTGATCGTTTTGATAATGACTGAAAAGTTTTATTTTAGATGATGCTGAATCAGCAGATGGACAGCGATGTTACAGTTCAAGTTCTTGTAAGTGTCGAACGTAAAACAATTCCACTATATATTTATGACCCGAAATAACTTAATTATAGCAGTACAAAAAGCTCTCGGACCGAACTCCCAACCAGCCGCCGCGTTATCGACTACAGATCTCTGATGGCGAGCATTCATGCGGAAGTACTACAGTCATCTATGTTTATGTCTTGAAAAGCTTTGCATATATTAAATATTTCTAAATTATAAAAGCCCGTTTCTGTAGCGTTTAGACTAACATTTATATGATGGAATGAAAGGGGTGATCGTTTTGTAGTATTGAACCGTTGTTTTCAATGCTCAAAGCCGGCGAAAAGTTTCTTCATGCGTTGAGAGAAAAGAAGACATAAATTTACATATATGGATGATGTTATAATGCTTGGTTTTCCAGAATCTTTATCATTATAGCGTTTCCCGTTAACACCCTTCCATTTCCTGAAATTATCCATGAAGCATCCTCTAAATCTGTCGTTCATTTTGCTCATGTGTCTTCATTCGCAGCTCAGTGTATTTACGGAAAGTTCGGCATTCTGTTTTTGGGGATTAAAATATGCTGGTCCCTCCCGCACTAGCAGTCTTGTGTTTTCATGAAGCTTTTCTTTTGCAGTTTGTTTTGCAAGGCCAATTTTCACATTTTGTTTGCATTGCCGTTAAAGTGGACTGGTTGTCACTACCATCTTTGGCAGTCTTACAAACCTGCAAGTTGCTTAAGGCTAGTGATGGTTGTTCATCTCAAGTCTTCACATTTTGATATATGAAGGTGTTTAGTTTATCGACGAAGAAATGATTCCCTCTTGACAAAAATTTCTATTTAGATTCATTGCCGAGTGATATGCTGGCTATCGATCTTTGGTTGACCGTGTTTCGGCTCCCAGCCAGCGAAGCTTCCTCGCTTACTTACTGTTAGTCAAATTTTGCCAATCTTCAGTCCCTGAACAACTCGAAAACTTGTTTGAGGGAGCTCTCGTGTTTCATCCATTAATTGTGGTGCTGCCCAAATTATCTGAGATACAGTTTTTTTGCTTAGTATTCCATCCAGGTAGTGACATGAAAGTTTTCTACTTGCACCACGTTTCAAAACTCCTTCGATTCTGTATCCGATTCAGTGTAGATTCCTAAGGTCCATTTTGTGAGTAGTTATGATCTTTTGTGGGCTATTTCGGCTGATCATTTCTTTCATCTATGAAAGCGCGCTTGGAAACCTTGGCGTTCAAAACAAACATCTTCGACACCACAGAGGTACCGCTGAGCATAAGTTTAGCACAAAACAAGTGGTCCGTATTGAGCCGGATATGAACGGAGCATGATCGCTGTGCTCATGCAGATTTGACTAGAGCGTGTTATTTCTGAAAGCTTACTCAAAAGTCCGATTTCATTCTGATTGATATCCAGATTATCACACCGGAGGCTAGAGCTGACTTGAAAATCTTGACATATTCGTGTATCGTTGCTAGTTACGTCCAATCAACGAAAAAGACGAAGATGGTCAGAACGAGGCTAAACATTTGGTCTTGCAGTGAATGTTTCAGTAGCTCGATCTGATAGTAATTTATAGAGGCTCAGAAGAGGAAAACCATTAAGTCCAGAATTGTCATGCTGATTTCCAAATTGCTCCTTCATTTATTTGCGTACCATTTTGATATTTCAAACAACTTATATGTCCATTATACGATTAAGCTATGTCCTGTTGATCAAGAATCTTTACCTTGCTAGATTTCAAGTAAGATTTCTTCCGTATATTCCGTATGAAACGAAATAAGTCCTCTTCGATTGAGATAATACTACGCATAGTATTATTTAGTTTCAGGGGATGATTAACAACTTTTATGAAGTTAATTTCTCTTTCGGTATTCCGTCCACATCTAGCCAGATTTTGTGCTACGTAAGTTCACAGTTAGTTGGCGGGTTATTTTTTTGTTGTTTTGTGAGTATGAATATATTGAAGTGCATGTTTGTTGGTTACATGGTTGGCAGCACGGGGCACAAAGAAAACTATTTGCAACGATTCCAGAGTTTCGACTGAAATGTCACGTTTTCCCTAATGATAACTGATGCTAATGCGGTCGAAATATTGGAATCATTTAAAGGAAAGTTGTTTTTTGGGTTGCCATCCATTAAATCAGACAATATCGGTATCAGTTTAAGCAGTTATTGTTATTAAATTGTAATTGTCTAAGTAATTTATAAGTTTTAAAGTGGAATTCCAAAACCTAGGTCGGTTTGAAACTAAATCATTTGTTAATTTATAGTTGAAGACGAAAAACAACACCGATGTTAACACTATTACCAGCACATTTCACTACCGACGCCGTAGCCTCTTCTGATTACAATTACCATCCCATGCATTTCAGGCGTTCAAATGTCATGGGGGTGTTGTCTGCCTGAAAGGTATGCCTAGAAGTCTAGAAGCAACGGGCGGGGCCGTATTACTCGATGTAATGTCTTCCGTCAGTCTTTATGATATCGGTGTAAACTGAAGTAGTGAGACTTGCACTGATATGAGTTATACCCTGATGATATGGCGCCGTGTTTGACGAAGTCAGCTCAAGAAAATCTTAACGTTAGCGTTGTTTGGTTCCCTCAATCATGAAGAAAAAATCTATGGTTTTACGACGAGAATCTAAAGATTCAAAACATATTTAAGTGACGGTCAGACCATTGGTTAGCTGACCGAACATATTGCTGCGTGTTGATGGGGATGGACTATCAAAGCATCCGAATCGTCATGTATTTGTACAGCAGTTGCAGCATTTAGTTTGCGCTGTTTCTAATAAAGTTGCTGGCCATCATATTTGTGTTATTCAAGGTAGATGAAAATGAGCAGTTTTTGAAGAAAAAGCTATTAGGCAATGTTTTCCATAAATCTTGCTTGGTTTTACGATATGCGGTTACGGGCTCCAGCTTGTTTTGTAATTTTTGAACCTTTGGCCTTATGAATTAGCTACTTAGTGGTTCCTCTTGTCATCGTATCAGTGGTCTCCTGTTTTGTACTTGTATGTGTCTTTTACATATGATGCACTTAGACAACTTCTCCTTTTTCAGCCATGATCACCCATGCCATATGTCCATCCCTCTACAGTTTCATGTCTTTATCTACGGTCAAATCGCAAACCCAGATTTGTGCACAGACTCACTGGTTTCTTTTTCAGTGATTTTTAATCCAATTTAGTTTTTATATTAGGGTGTCGAAACTTTTTTTTCTACACTCATGGTCGTTTGCAGATGTGTTTAGACTGCGTACTTTGTGTTTAGACTGTATGTTGGCTACTCAAAAGAACGAACTCATAGAAAGTGGTCAGCTTGACAGCTTTGCGATTGTTTCGGTGAAGAAATACATTTCGAACAAAATTTCCAAGTAAGAATTGGTTTTGGATTTTGGTAACCTTATAAAAAATTTCTTTTTATGTAAAATCTTTGAGTCTCTTTTCAGCGCAGTTCAACAGAAAGTTTTTATTAAGCGTGTTTGTTTGTTTTGGCATCGTCATCAAAGACTAGCTGAGTTAAAACTGCAGATTATCCGAGATTTATGACGTTTGAAGTGTTTAGCGTGTAATTGTATTGTGGTTCCGATAACTTCATGCAGTTTGCATTCATCGTTCAACGGCCTCACGTACCTTCTCCTTGCAGATTTTAAGCTTAAAGCTCACATTTCTTGGTAGAACCCTTTGAACCGTTCTGTCGATGTAAATCACTCATCGCCAGGTGCTTATGCATATGTGCAATACTTAATTTTAAGAGTATTTTACCTTATCTTAATTTTCTTTCATTGCTCTTCTTTAATAACGCCTGTACACATTTTTATTTTAGCAAAAAGGAAAATTTGTCACCGTTTAAATGTCAGTCTTACTTAATTTTCATGATTTTGGCGCCCTTCTTTTCCTGAAGTTGATCGTGCGAGGCTGATTTCTGTTTTTATGCCATCAGCCAGGAGTGACTTATTTTTTAAGATGGAATCTACAGCCATGTAACAGCATGTCTCATTTCTTTCTCATAACGTGGTATTTATTTATCAACTTTGGAATGAGGAACAGTTCGTATTTGCAGTTTTGGATGAAACTATTTTCTGCTGTTGAAAACACGAATGTTCTTCAAACATAATTTACTTGTTGGTTCTAGTAATGAAAATTGATGCTGTTGTATTTGTTAAAATCTAATCTATAGATATCCAGGCTTGCAAAAATTTCTCAGCGAATTGTCTTTGATATTAATGGACTACGGAGTTTATTCGTTATTTTAAGTCTTTATGAAAATTTATCATTATTTTCTACAGTATAGCTTTGTCGATTTGAAATTTAATAGAACAAGAAAAATTATAATTTCTAAAGATTGACTAATTTAAAGTTTACTTAAAAAAGCTAACAGTATCTTAAATAAAAAGTATAATATTAAATGCACCTTCATATGATTCATTAAATTCAATTCTAACATTTATTTTCAGTTTAGGACACTATATTTCTGATGAAGAAAACGAGAAATATTACCGTTATTGCCGTTTTCAGCTGTGTATTATATGTAGTACAGATTATTTAATGGATGCTCTTAATAAATATAGATACAAAAAATTTTAAAAATCACATCTAATTCTAAATTCTTTTTTTT